GGCAAACATACAAAAAAAAGCGTTTGCTGTTGTTGGCAAACAAACAACGAAAAGCGTTTGCTGTCGTGGGCAAACATACAAAAAACAAGCGTTTGCTGTTGTTGGCAAGCATACAACGAAAAGCGTTTGCTGTCGTGGGCAAACATACAAAAAAAAGCGTTTGCTGTTGTTGGAAAACATACAACGAAAAGCGTTTGCTGTCGTGGGCAAACATACAACAAAAAAAGCGTTTGCTGTTGTTGGCAAACATACAACGAAAAGCGTTTGCTGTCGTGGGCAAACATACAAAGAAAAAAAAATATAAAAAAACCTCTTTTCTCTTGCTTTCTCTCCCCTCTTCTCTTCACCAATAACCTCCTCCCTTAGTAAGGTTAGGGCAAGAGTCTCCTCCAGTTACAGGTTTTTCTAAGTCAGTGTTTGATGGGTGTAAACATTGTCATGTTTTTTGTGGCGGGGTAAAAAACTGAGGCAGTTTTTTCCCTGGAATCAAACACCGACCATAAAATTGCGTCATTGCTCAGGCAAGACAAGGGCTGATGCACCAAAAGCCCAAAATGTTTTTCCTGAGATTAGGGTGCTGTTTACCATAACTAAGGGGCCCCCGCGATGGAATTAAATGGGAATTAATCGTTTAATTCGAGTTAATACCCGCGGGGAAAGTGCGCAGATTCCCCTTTTCTAGAATCGGGTGGTCCCACACGTATATCCTTAGTAGGCTGTGGATATCATGTTACCTTAGCTATTTGCTAATCACCTTGTGGTATTATCTAGGTGGTCTTTTCCTGGCATATTTGTTTAAGTACAGTGATGCAGCTAGGGTCATGTCATATTGTGCAGCAAGACTCGCGCGTTGTTTGTACGCGTTTTCCCCTCCCATCCCTGTCCCCTTGTACTCACTTCTCCTCCTGCTTATATCCCGTTATATGCTTCCTTCTGCCTTCTCCTGTCTCACTTCTTCTCACACAGTCATTCGATTGTGTGACAGGTGTATCAGTCTGATTATCGGGGTAAAAAACTGAGGCAGTTTCTACCCTGGAATCAAACACCGACCATAAAATTGCGTCATTGCTCAGGCAAGACAAGGGCTGATGCACCAAAAGCCCAAAATGTTTTTCCTGAGATTAGGGTGTTGTTTATCATAACTAAGGGGCCCCCGCGATGGAATTAACAAGCAAATTAATAGAGAGTGCGGAAAAATAACCGACCCGAGCGAGACTCGAACCCACGACCCCTGACTTCATACGTCAAGTGCTCTACCGCTGAGCTATCGGGTCGTGATTTCAAGCCAACACCCAAGGTCGAGTCATTCACCCGCACTGCCCCTCTCTTGGAAACAAGCAAAATGAGATTCGAAATAAACCTCCTATGTAGACTTACTCCATGAGCCTCTGTTTCGCTACTGCCTCACTTGACGGACGCTACAACAGAGACTCATAATCCAAAGTACTCAAAAACTGGCAACTTCAATTTTGTCTCGTTCTCGATTTCTTTTCAAATATTTCAAAATCATATTTCCCCTTGATTTGCACATTTGCACAGCTTTTTCATTCGCGTGTAAAGATGTTAGTTTTTTCGTACGTATGGATGGTTTTTTCTTCTTTTCTCTGGGAATTGCATTTTCTCTGGTGTGGCAGTTACAGTGAAGACTTTGCAACAGTAAGTTATCCTTTTTGCAGTATTCTTCTGTAATTTTTTCAAAGAAGTCGGGTAGAAAGATTTTTATAATTTATTTCACTTCTTTGCGTGAATTACTGTGCCTTGTGGCTGGCAACAAACACGTGGATAAGTTTGTTAGCTCCATGATGATATCTTAAGTCAAATTAATGGAGATAGATAAGTAACTGAAGGAGAAAGGCTTGGTTCAGGAAGGTCAAAAACAAGGGCCGATTTTTTTCAAGGCGTTTATTCTACCAATAAATTTTCCAGACCAGTTCAATTTTGATGTCACTTTCAAGTATAGTAAGTTAAGCCAAATTTTGAACTAGGCCTTGTAGCTAGGACCGCGGCAAAAACTAGGATATAAAAATGGATAAAGTTGTGCTTCTTGTTATTGTGAGTAATTTTTTGTTATGTCTATGTTCTAGATGACAACTCAATGAAGACAGACAATTCTCCCAATAAAGTAAAATTTCATTGTGGACTTTTTCAAGAATATAATATGAACTCATTTATAGTATAATTTATAACTTCAGTTTTGTCAAAGTATCTTTTTGTCTTGACTGTTTATTACGTTGTAGTAAACATGCTTGCATCCAATTGAATTTGGTATATACTAATTATATTCACTGAGTTGTGGTGTTTATTGTCTGAACTTCTCCAATATCAGGGTGCATTCTCCATGTAGGTAGGGCCGAATTTATCTGGACTGGGATTAGAAAAATCCCTTAGGTGTATGAAGGAAAAGTCCTTTTACTCTACGTATCGTCGACAGGAAATCCCTAGGATCAATTAATTCTAACGGTTGTTGGTGTATCATTGACAGAATTATTATAAATTTGTATGGAAATACAAAATTATCTTATCCTGTTTAACAAAAGTTGTAATCATTATTTTTGATTAAATTTTAGCAGGTCTCACTATGGTTTCAAGGTTCTCCGATAAAAAAATCGACACTTCGATCTTTTAAAGTAATTTATCAAATATTTGATGAAAAGTGTTGCTAATTTTTTAAAGTTTTTTTTTAAATTGGTTCTTGGCTATAAACTAGCGCCTAGTGGCTTCACAAAGGTGAAGTTCAAAATTCACTGGTCAGGTTGTTTTCAACGCTGTCGTCATTTAATTCTTTTCGTCAAGCCAGCGCGATACTTCTGAGAGTGGAGTGTACTAAGGCATATCCTCGGGACAAAAATTTCATACAAAAATGATACAAAGTGTTTCCATATGCAGTAGAGGGCGAACGCAAAAACGTGTTTTTCATTGTACGCTTTGCAATAGAATTCACTTTCAAAATCTTCGAAAACAGCCAACAGTTTTCTGCCATTTCTCGACAGTGATATTTTGTAACGCTAACAACACGGGGGTTAGGATGTTTTTAAAAAGATACCTCGTTATGAAAGAAATTGAGGTGCCAGCCAATCAGAAAACCGTATTTTGAAAAGCTGC